ATAAAATTGTTGATGTAGGAACAAATGATAGTGACATGAAATGAGAGTAGCTGCTAAAAAGATGGAGTATATGCTCCAACCATCAATTACGCTTTCCTTCTTCCTTACTTGGCGGATCACCAGTTGTAGTAGTCCACTTGTCTCCGGGTTCTACATCCCAATCGCCATGACAATCCCAGTTCCAGTCCGTCTTTGCGATATTTTCCTTCATTGCTGCAACAAAGGTATCCACAGGGCACATTCCGTGCTCGTTCTTAGGACATCCCTTAATCCCTGTTAGAGGGGTCACACCATCATTGATGATAACACGGATCTGCGGACCCCCAGGAATAGAGTCACACGAGAGAACTAACGAGGTATCAGCGCTATTGGATGTCTGTGCAGACAATATAACTCACGTTGGAACTGAATGTTGGTTCCGAAGGGGGAGAGTTCAGAAGACTTGAATGACCTATTCGGTGGGATGTGATCATATGGCAAAGGCCCAGTTTCAGCAAAGTTTGACAAGTTCAAGGCGGTTATAACTAAATAACATATAGTCGAGCTCAGTGTTGGTCACACGACACGTCAATGAATCGCTTACTGTTAAGAACTACAACTTCGTGGGTAGCGTCGACATACAACGAATGGTCAAGAGGGAATGTTATAGGGTTATCGTCCAGTGTCGAGTTTGTGGAAGAATTGTGAACAGGGATAGGAGTATGGGTAAGTCTTGCAACGAGCTCTTGGATGTAACCAATTCCTTGAACTCTCGCAACTGGTGAGCCAAAGGCAGAGTTATACCTTTGAAAGTTGTCAGAATGTTGCCCAAACAAGGTCATTTAAACACTCACCAGAAGCTAAGGTCGAGCCTGGATAAATGTGATACATTCAGTATCACTGTCTAATATCGTATGGTATGTGCACACTACTTACGAGTATCCGAAGCCTTCCCACTCCTCTTCTGTGAAGAGTTCACAGAACTTGGAGTATCCAAGCGCAACGGTCTAGGGAAACACTGGTTAAGTGATCGGATAAATGATCGTGAAAAGGTTGAAGCACCTCGTATGCACACATCTGCAAAGAACCTCATTAGGCGATACATTTCAATGCTCTGGTTCATACTACCCACCGATTGGAATGCGTAGGTGTCCTCTATTGATATGTCAATTCCATCCAGAGACGCTGAAAGTCTCTTCTGTGCGGTTTTGAGGTAGATCTCGTTCCATTTCTTCACATACCACAAAGCTCTAAAGCCTTTGTCAAAGTGACCTGCATTATCGCACCTGCAACAAATGAAATCTTGTAAGTGATCATTTCACTCAGTGTACCGACGATGCATACGTCATGTATGGCGCCAATGTATTGTTCACCTGAAAAAGATCAGCATCCATCTGAGGAGTATGCAAACCATTACTCACTCCTGGTGTTTCATATGTGATACTTTGCTCATACTGGCCCTCGAAAGGATACCCAAAGAAGCCAATCGCAAAGTTGAGCGCTGAATGAAGCATACGATGTCTTGCAACGATGTTAGGGCCCATCTACAGCAGGTAAGCGACTGCAAACATACTGTGACTCCGTTCTGAAGACGGGAACTGTTTGGGTGAAGTTCTGAGTAAAGCGAAACTTAGTGGT